GGCCTGGATTCTGGTGCCTTTCTGAAAGCTCTATCCGGGAAGCCGTCAGAGCACGGGATTGGGGTCGGGGAGATGGGATCCGGGAAGGCGAGAGAAGGGGGGAGGACGGAAGATGGAGAGGGAGGGAGGGAGGGGTGGGGCTGGGGGAGGGAGGGAAAGGGAGAAAGGGGAGGGAAGAAGAACAGGATGAAAGAGGGGAGGGGACTGGCGCGGCCGGCTAGCTCGCAGCCAGTCGCGAGGCCTGGGGACCCGGCGACGTCGGAGGCTCTACCACGGACCCAGGCTGCAGCCCCCACCCCCGCACGGCTGACGCGCCCCGGAATCCCTTCCGGCTCACATTCTAGCCCCTAGTCCTGCTGGGTGCGGTGAGGCGGCTGCAGAGAGGAGGAGAGCAGGAGGGGAGCAGGTGAGTAGGGCTGGGCTCCGGGAGCACAGAGCGGGGAGCGGGAGCGCGGAGCGGCAGCGGGGAGCTGAGCTTAGGATCGGAAGGAGGCTCGGTCCAGGGCCTGTGCCCGGGGGAGAGACTCCCAGAACCTGCAGAGTTCCCCCAGTCCCCCTCGGCAGCCGCCGTCGGGGAAAGCCAGGAGGGTGCGGGATTCTCTGGCTCTGGTGTTTCCCCACTCAGGGTGGGGACAGGAGGACTGGGGGCTAGATGATGATGTCGAATTTAAAATGTGCAAGTGAGAGTTGTAAGTTAAGTTTTATTTGAGGTAAAATGAAGGCTGCAGTCCGTAAGATAGCACCTCAGAAAGCTCTGAGACACTGTTCCAAAGAGGCGGTGGGGAAGGTCAGTATATACGTGGTTTTGGTGAAGGGAGAATACATGCAATCAAGCACATATTTTTCCAGAGGGTTTCTGCTAGTCTGGTGAAGCTTCCTGCCAGTCACCAGGATCAGTCTTCACCATGAAGGATTGTAGCAGACCCGTAAAATCAGCTCTTGAAAATATTCTATCTGAAGTCCTGTGGTGCCAGTCCCCCCGCCCCCATTTCTGTTCTTCACCCAGAACTCCTTTCAGGGGGTGTTGAAGGTCAGCAACTGCAGCAGCACTTGATTTAATCCTTGTGGAGGTAGATGGCAAGTGCCTATGGCAAGTGCAGTTTGAAGTTAACAGGGCCCCCTCATGGTTATAATTTCAGCAATATAAGTTCTCCCAAAGGGGAGACTTTTCAAGACCATTTTGTCCCACAGTGCTAGGAAGGCTCATTTCTAAGTCTGGTGAAGATTTCTCTTACAAGCCACTTGATGTGCAGCTACTGGACTAGGTTTATCAACAGTAATCAAAGGTTTCTGGACCAACCTGTCTTACTCAATCTGTTATGGTCAAGGAAAAATTCCCTCTTGTTATATCTTCCCATATCTAGAGTTATGTTATTACAACCATTGATTGCATATAGAACTATATATTTGATCAACTGCTTCAGATCACCTAGTCATCATTATTTTTATTGGAGGTTCAGTCACACATTTGGTAATGCAAGAAACAATAATCTTGTAATACAGGCAAAGTACAAATAACATAGCTAGCAGTATTATTAAAGTCATAAGTGAGAATTAAACCAAGAACTTCCATTAGGTGCAGTCCAGTATATCCTCAGGTCATTTAACTTAGTCTATTCTATTCCAATCTTTATCTTTCAGGGGCGTTATATATTGGCACTATCCATAAGGCTCTTACCTGATTTTCTAGTTACTAGGCTGGTTATCCTTAGTATAATTTAATTGTTCCCAAGGTAAAGGGGAACCTTAAATCTTAAATGACCACAGCCTGGTGTTAACCACATAAATCCATCCCATAATTGTGGGAGATTTTATTCCTTGGCTGAATTTGTGCTTGTTTCTCTGATTGATCTTGAGTAACTTAGAGGAAAATTCATATTTATGGCCAGTACCAGAGCAGGTATTATTAACTGACTAGGTGAGAAGATCCCACCTAGTAATATCAAGAGTAGCCTGAATGGGACTGAACTTTCTTTCTCTAAAATAAATTTTTTAAGGCTCATCCAATTAGAGCTTTGGAGTGAAGAAATCCACCTAGGTAATCTAAAAGTACTAGACACAGATAATTGGCCCCAACCCAACAATTGGACTGATTTTTTTTAAAACTAGCATAGGGAAAAAATAAATAAATAAAAACCAGCATAGGATTGTGTCCAAGATAGAAAACATTTGGTCCATACACAAAGGTCCAAGAAGTCAAGAAAACATTATAAATGATCATACAAATCAGGTCCTGCATCTTGGATAAGCTGCCTACTTTTGATACTGTCTTCTTCTCATCCTGGTGTAAGTATTTGAACATTTGAACATCATTTTAAGGTGAGTTTGAGGTCAGCAGTCCTCTCGATAGACCAGTCTGGTGTAGGGGTCTTTGGAAGTGGGAAGTAATCCAAGGGTCAATTTACCTTCAGATTCACCGTACATGGGCTACTTAAAGAGTGCCTGATAAAAAGTCCTTTCATCCAGGCTACAGAAGGTACTTTAAAGTATGTCTTGTCCAGTATATATATAATATGTATTATATATATTATATATATATATATATATATATATATATAATATATATAATGCCCGTTTATATAATCCCCAAGATCATATCATGGAGCATCTGATCTTCATCCAAATATTACTGAGATAAGCTTCAGAAACAAAACTTAGATCTTCTTTTAATAATTCAATTAAACCTTCATTGAAGTGTCTTAGCAGCAGCAGTATGGTATAAAGGCAAGGGACTATGTGGGATGTGAGTCAGTAAATACAGACCTCCATTAACAAAACTGGGATTTAATATTCATTGAAATACAATCTTTTTATCTCTAAAATTACCTTCATTTCTACTACACATATTCAAATTAAGACTAATTTGTTGCAAAGTAAGTCTGATCTCAAAAAAACGTGGCCTGATATTTATATAACTATAACTGATCAAAAGTTTTTGCATTGCTGAAACTTTTATAAGGAGTCTCAGATTGAACTTAAAAAAAAAAACCTTTCAAGGCTAGGAAAATCATGGCAAAGACTTATCACATGTTTCACATTACAGATCTCGGTAAACGTCTCCCTTAGCAACGTCCCCCAAATACCTTGAGATTTCTGTACCTGTTGGTGAGGTAGCTTTCCTAATTTATCTGATAAAGTTACTGGAAACCTAAGAGTTTACAATCTCTGGAGGGAGCAGATAGAGAAAAAAGATAAATGCTTCAATTCTGCTTACAAAAGTATAATTTACCAAATTACTCTAAGTCCTAATTAGTTTGAGGGGAAGATTTTCCTTACACCTGGAAAATGCAGATTCAAATTTGTAATTTTTCAGGCAGAAACCATGAAAAGCATAGCCATATTCAACAGTTCACTTATTCTTATGTATAACTAATTTTTGTTAACAGTTTGTGAAGCTATTAGGTTTCTCTTTAGGATTTTTCAGTTTCTTACCTAGTTCAGCATTATAGCCTGAAAATCAGAAACTTGTATTTATTCCAAAGTTCTTTCTGTTAATCTTTTTGAAGAGGAAGTATTTTGCAAAGGCACCAGAATGAAATCATAACTGTCAATAATGACAGAAGACTTAAGAAGGCATGTTTACAATCTGATTACAATGCAATTGACACAGACACTTGGTTACTGCTCTGACATACAACACTTTAAGATAATAACTAGAATTATGACTGATAACATTTTACCAGAACATATCAGATTTTAGGAAAGCTATATAATTTTTAGAATATTTTTATTAGTAACATTCACCATACAATATAACCTAAGAATGTTTATTAGTCATTTGACAATGCTTCCCATCTAATTTGACATACCAAATGAATGTAGTTAGTTTAGTATCTCTCTTTGGGATGTTTCAGAGGCCCTTTGAAGCACCCCAAAGTTAGTGAGAGATCAAAAAGACTTCATTAGAATTTGATTTAGAAAGTTTGGTCAATAAATATCAAAAGAGTTTAGAACACTCAGTCAAATGGGATCAGAGGTCACTTGAGAAACAATAATTACTCACTTAGCCAAAGTAACAATAGAAGACTTCAAAGGCAAATACAACAGATCACTTAAGAGGTAAAGAAACTTAAAATCTGTTATTAAAGGCAGTCCAACATCTTAAGAAAATTGTTCCATACACAAAATTCAGGGGAGAGTCAGCCCTGAATTTTCTCAGGGTCTACTTGCCACAGACCTTCATAATTTTATGTAGCCATCACTTAGTTTGCTCATCCCAAACCTGTAAGTCAGACCTAATTCCTTTTCCCTTAATGAAATGCAATTCCATTTCTCCTGCCTTCTTCACTGAAAAGTCACATTCTACTTTCCTTAAGCAACCATGAACTGTCCTTTATATTAACATTCTATAGGTTGGTGAACATAAATACCAGTTATAATTTCTGAAAATATTTACTTTCTTATAGAGACAATCTCAGGATGGCACCAAACATATTCATTATTAGTCCAAACATCTTTAGTTTCTCTGTAAGAGGAAGTCAGTCAGTATTCAGTAATTAATGTTTTAGTGTCTTATTTTATTTGGGCTAGGGCCCAGAGGTGAAGCATTGAACATGACAGGTGTAGTCTTACCCTGGAAAAGCTTGCAGTCTAGTGGGAAAGAAAGACTTTAACCTGCAAAGCAGAGGCAGAAACAACACAAGGGCTCTGCCAATGACTCCTTGTGCATTTGGAGTCAGTAAGCCCAACCCCGCTCCCTTCCATGCTGCTCTGGGCTGGTAGGTTGAGGTTGGATGACAACAGTCTTGTGGAGCAGGTGCCAGCCGGAGACTCACTTCAGGTCCCACCCTCTCCTATTTGGAGCTGCAGAGAGGATGCTGTGGTCAGGGGGCCTGGTCTTACCAGGCCCAGGGAACACTCCTGGTCAGAACAGGGGCAGGGTGTCAGGCTGTGGGAGGTGAAGGGTCCTGTGGCAGGTCTAGGTGGCTGTTGTGTCGATGCCTCTCTGCTTCTTGGTCCCCAGGTCCACACCTCTGCTTCCACAATCAGAAGTCAGCAAGATGCCCATCTGTGAAAAAGCTCCCCCTAAGATGACGGCAAAAAGTCCGGGCAGTGAGGAGGAGCCTGTAAGTGATGTTTAGAGCCCCCTCTCTCATCCCTGCTCTCCCCATTCACAAGCCCTTTCTTCCAGAACAGTGCTGAGTAGGACTGGCCTCCGAATCTTGCCTGGCACCCAGCCCTGTGCTCTCCCGGGCATGGACGCCAGCTGTAACCCTGCCTCTAGTTTGCTTGAGGAGCCTGGGAGGGCCTGGTGGAGCTGGGAGTGTCTTCAGGAGATACTGAGGGAATGCTGACAGCTATACTCTCTAACCCCCAAAGCCAGGGAGAGTCCTTGATCTGAGCCGGGTACTCTCTTTTCTCCCGGCGCCTCCCCTTCTCCAGGTTTCACTTCCAGTGGCTTTGAGCCCAGTGGAGTTGCCTGAGGCTGCATCCCCACCTCTAAGCCCTGTTACGTCGCAGCCCCTGGAGCCTTAAGGCTTCAGCTTCCCCACTAGCTTGAGACAATCCCATCCTTCCCTGGGCGGGCATCCTCCTTCCCTGTCACACTCACCTTCCAAAGTGAGTATGCTACCGCTGTCTTCTTGACACCTCTTTACCCCAACCTGCACCCCAGGGCTTCATTTGAAAACTTGATCAGAACTTTTTGGCTTCTCCCTGTGAAGTTGCTCACCATGTTGCCTAAACAAACAGTCTGACAGATACTTCTGTTGTTGTCTCTCCCTTTGGACTGCGGCTGCCTTGAGAGCAGGCTCTGTCTCTCCATTGTCCCTGAGTCCAGCCCAGGACCTGGCTCATATAAATTGCCCAGAAATGTTTCTGGACCTAAGATCCCAGGACCCAAAGCCCCTCCTTTGTACAAGACCCTGTCTCTGTACCCAGGCAAAGCCAGAAATCCATGAGAGTCCGGGAAGAACCCTGAGGGGCTGAGACATCTCAACAGAGAGTTCCTGCTTCGTTCTTTCTTTCGCATCACTGATTCCCCATGACCCAGACTGAGTCACTGTCGCAGCCCTGAAGAAGGGTGGCTCCAACCAGACCTGCTGTCCCTTTTGAACAAGTCGCCATCTGGACTGGGCTTTCTGTATATGTTTCCCCACTCACCCACCACATGGATCCCCAAGACCCCAGGAGAAAGAAGAGGGTGGGGAGACTGGACTGGCTCTCTGGGAGTGGGCTGGGCCACCTAGAATGCTGCCCAGACCCATCCTCGAGTGCTCCCCAGGGCAGCAGGAGCAGCCCATAGTTGGCAGTGACACCCTCCTGCCTCCCCCTAGGGCAGTGGGCTCTAGAGAAACAAGCTCAGACAGGTGGATTCCCCTACTCTCATCCGCGCATGCGCTCCAGCTCACTCACACTCGGGACCAGGGGCTGGGGGGGGTTCACTTCAGTCCCTGCAGCAGCAGGAACAGAGCACAAGTAAATACTCAATGGACCCCCTTCACTCCACAGCCCAGCTGGGGTAGAAATTCACTCCCTTTACCACCCCATAGAGGAGAAACCCCTGAAAGAAGGCAGTCCACTATTTGCCAGCTTTGTAAAGTTTAGTCAATAGTATGAAAAATCCTGGCTTCTCATTGTGACCAGCTAAGTGAGGAAGAAGGAGAAGGATGGATGGAAAAGGAAGCAAAAACGAGAAAGACCAAGGAGGAAGGAGTGGGAGGGCTATCAGTGGGGTGGGGTGGGGGGGAATTATTTCAGGTCCTGATTCTGCCATTGAATGGCTGGATGACTTTGGAGTAGTCTCTTCACTCTTAGGCCCTCAGTGTCCTCACCTGAAAGCTGGACAAAAATACCTGCCCAGGCTAAGCCATAGCCCTGTTGAACACACAAGATCCCACAGTGACAGAGCTTGTTAACTGGGAAACCCACATCAGGAGGACATGGGTGGGGAGTTCTACTTAGATTCTCGAGATACTCCGGGACCCCAGGAATTATGGGTTTTCTCTTAGCAATCCCTTTGGAGGTATAATATGATATGATATGATAGTCATATCATAACATTTTATGATGTGCCTATTTGGGGCCAGTTGTTTCTCTTATTTAATTTTCTCTGTGCCTCTCTCAGGTAGGGATTGCTGTTTAAATCTGTGGACAAGGAAGCTGAAGTTTAGAGAGATTAAGAGTGGAAGAACTTAATCGTCCCCCATCCCCATCCCATACCCACATGGAGCTAAATGCCCCTCCCTGGGTTTCATAACAGGGAGGGATTTAATAAGGAGTCTAGGGCAGACGTCACCCTCCCATATCATGAATATCAGAGTATCATGCAGAATTCTGGTCGTTAAGGCAGGCATTAAATTATTCTTCTCTCCATCTTTCACCTGTCCAAACCCCTCCATTAAAGTCACACCCTTTGGGTCCAGAGATCAATTGGATTGTGGAGCCCCAGCTGGAAACAGCTCCTAAATTAAGAGTGGCCAGCAGTCAATATCAATAACAGGGCTGTTTCATCTTAGACTCATTCTTAATGGTTTATAAGCACCTTCACATCCATGATCACTTGGATCTTATAAGAAGTGGTGTTTCTTACTCCAATTTTACAGGGGAGGAAACTGAGGCACAGAGGTAGGGGTGATTTGCCCAGGATCACACAGATGGTCAGCAGTGTGTTCTGTCTGGTGTCAGCATCAAGGTCTTTTCCTCTGCACTTGGTCCCCGGCTAGGGGCAGGGCTGAGGTGTGGGAGAAAGCAAACAGGTGACTCCTCAGTTCACAGCTCTGCTGAGTCCCAGGATAGGGAACAGGGACGGGGCAGATGGAGGTAGACACAGGGGATCAATCTGGGGACAGACAGGGGCCACACAGAAGGACAGACACAAGAACCTGTGAGCCTTGTCTTCCAGGGGCTGCCCAAACTCCCTGTGCCCCCGCTGCAGCAGACCCTGGCCACCTACCTGCGGTGCATGCAGCACCTGGTGCCCCAGGAGCAATTCAGGAGAAGCCAGGCCATCGTGCAGCAGTTTGGGGCCCCTGGTGGCCTCGGCGAGACCCTGCAGCAGAAGCTCCTAGAACGGCAGGAGAAGACTGCCAACTGGGTAAGAGCTGCTGGGGCAGCAGGCAAGGAACCCATGGAGCAAGGGGCAGAAGTGAAATAAGAAGATAGAGGGATTTGGATAAAGGGCAGGTTGGTGACAAAGATGGGGCGGAGGGAGGGACGGGCATGGGGGAGACACAGAGGGCTAGTGGGGGCAAGGGTGTGAGGCTGAGAGGGGACAGATGGGGATAGAGATGCGGTTATGGGGAGAGATGATAGGGCTGGGGGCAGCAGAGGATAGCATGAAGTCAGGGAAGAAGAGAGGGATGAAAAGCAGGAACGAGACACTCATAAGATTGGGCAGGGGACACGGATAAGGCAGCACACAGCCAGGGTGAACTGAGACGGAAGACAGGAGACAGCGTGGGGTGAAGCTGAAGGACAGGCGGGGTGGCTCAGGGAGCCACAAGCTCTAGCCCATAACTGGGGCTTAGTGTATGTTTGTGGAATGAATGAATGAAAAAAGTACATGATCTAGTGAAGGGTCCCCATTTCCCTTCCGGGGTGCCAAGGTGGGAATGATGTGTTCCCCAGGCAGGGTGTGTGTGGCCCCTGGGGGTAACGGCACCCTCCCTGGCAGGTGTCCGAGTACTGGCTGAACGACATGTATCTCAATAATCGCCTGGCCCTGCCTGTCAACTCCAGCCCAGCTGTGATCTTTGCCCGGCAGCACTTCCAAGACACCAATGACCAGCTAAGGTGAGGACACCAGGCTCCTGAGCTCATAGCTTGGGAGTCTGCCTGGAGGAAGGGGCCTGGCCCCATCACGAGGAAGGAGAGGCTGAAGCTCATGCCTTGGCTGAGCTCTCTGAGGCCAAATGACCCTGAGACAGTGGCCATCCAGGCCATGGGGTCAAAGGAAGGGTAGGTGAGGGGCACGTGGGTAACAAACACAGGGTCTTTCTCGGGTTTATCTATTTGGGGTGGAGTGGGGTGGGGTGGGGAGGTCTTGGGCCCCAGGTGCCCCCATGGCAGTCTGGCCTGGCTGAGGTCCTGGGAGGAAACTTGTAGCCTCTGATCCCGCCAGTGCTTGAAGCTGGGGCTTGTCACTGGGATGCACGGCCCCAGGCTGTTTCAGAGGGCCTCTGCTCCCTGCAGCCCCCAGCTCTGAGCAGAGGCTCCCAGGGAGTGGAAGTGGTTCCTTCCCGCAAGCCACCACCAGAGTCTCTGCCATCTGCTGCAATTTCAGAGCTCGCTGAGCCGCTGGAATGGCCTCTGTGTGCGCTGACGACGACGACAGCGGGGCCATTTATGCAGGAGTGGAGCAGGGCGGAAGGGTCTCTCAGAGCCAAACCCAGGCCTCTGACTTCAAGACCAAATCATGGCACAGCGTGGGGACAGTTCAGAGGGAGGAAATAAAAACATGAGGCAGGGTCCACCTTGGCCTCTGATCCAGGCTGGAAGACCCTCGCCCCCTCCTTCTTCACCCAGCCCAATCAGCCTGCTGGCTGGAGGGGGAGGGGGCTGGGCAACCTTCCCCCTTCCCCTACAGCTGGGCATTCCCCTGGGCAGAGGAAGTATGTGGACAGATGAATGACTTCTGGATGCTGTTCTCAAAACTGCATTGAAGGGGGTGTTTTCCTCCTGATGCAGTTAAGCCAGGCTCATCGTCCTTGGGCAGTTAAGATGACAGGCTCCCGTGGTAAGGTTTTCTGGTAACTTTTTCCCAGCCAACAGCACCTGGCTTTCTTTTACATTAGCACTAAGGAGACCAGATTACTGACTTTTCCTGGGAGATTGGATTTCCCAGAACCTTGGGGTTTTGGCCCAGTCCAGTCCCAGCACAGGCTTTCCCCTGGAAGAACACTGCCCCTAATGGTCTGGCCCCCTCCTGCCTGCTCCGTGGCCTCTCCTGGCTTCCCCTCCCTCCTCCTCCTCTCATTCACCTTCCAATTTCCTCTCCTCCCCCAAGTTCTCTCCTCAGGACCATTTTTAGTTCCAGGTTTGTGAAGGAAACCGACAGCCTTGGGGTAGGGATGGGGCAGCAGGAGCCCTCTCTGATTATTGCACCCTTAAGGCCAGTCATCTGGTGGGTGGTCCATGAGTATGGGAGAGACTAGAGGAGGTGGGAAGGAGGGGGAGGAGGAAAGAGAAACAGGAAGAAGGAATGAAAGAAGAAGGGAGGGAGGGAGGAAACCTGGGCCCCAGAGAGGAGAAACTAAGGCCTCATCTCTCTCTGCAGGTTTGCAGCCAACCTCATCTCTGGTGTGCTCAGCTACAAGGCCCTTCTGGACAGGTAGGACTGAGCCCCACCTGGGAAGGGTAGTGCCCTGTTCGTCTGTCTCCCTAGCACACTAGCCAAGGACTTGCAGAGGCAGGGACCTTGTCTCTCTTCAGCTCCGTGTTCCCGGCTTCTGTCACTGAGCAGGTGACCCCCTGCACATCCCAAGCATCAGAATGACCTTTCCCTCAGCTGGCCCAGACATTAACAGTTACTTTTCCTGGGGTAAGCCCAATCCTCCCTTGATCTTTTTCATGCCCATCTCCCTCCGTAAGTCACATTTACATACATGCCATGATTCAGTGTCTCAGGAAGCTAGCGAGCACATCAAAGGGGGAAGGCAACATTGCTGGAACCAGCTGATGATAAGTTCAGCCTTCTTACTTGCTCCTTGAAAGGAGCAATCTCCCCACTCTGAGCCTGTTTCCCTAGCCCCATCAACCTCAGGAAATGGGCGGCCGACTCAGTGGACACAAGGGTGTCCTGAGAGATGGAGAGAGCTGCATAAGCACAGTGGGGCATCACCGATTTTAGGAGGAAAGTCCTTCTTTTGTCTAAGCACCGGGTGCCCAGGAGCACCAGGGAGAGTGAGAGGGTGTGGGGGACCCAGAGAGAGGGTCTTAGGGTCCCCAGAGACAGGTAATATTAGGGCATCAGTTGCTGGAAAGAAAGAGGGGTCCAAAGCAGTGTCCATTGCACAGATGAGGAAGCTGAGTCTCAGAGAGTTCAAGGGCCTTGTCCATGGTCACACAGCCAGGAGGTGGCAGAGTGAGGAGGGCATGGGGCAGACATCACTAACATTTCAACTTGATCTGACTCAGACTTAGCCAGCCTCGGAATGGAGGCTTAGACCTACAGCCCCTCCAGGGTAGGGCTCTTTCCTCTGGAGAGAAGGGGGCAGGCCCCAGATTCAAAATACAGAGTGACTCAGGGCTTTGACTCTGGGCTCAGCAGACCTGCATTTGAATTCTGACACCTACAACACATGATGTGTCAACCTTGAGTGAGTAATCACTCCAATTACTATAGACTCCTGTGTGTCAAATGGAAACAATAATGGTGCCGCCTCTTGGGGCTGCAGTCCCTGTCCTATGAGATGATGCCTGCGAGGCTTTCAGCTCTAAGCCAGTCAAGAAGCTGTCTATGCATTTCTGTGCTTCTGTCTGCTCACTCCTCACTGTACGTCCCCTTGCTGGGTCTCCAGGCCTTCCAGCTGCTGTCTCCCCATGGTGTCTCTCCTCCTCACCAGGAGCTCTCTGCCATCCCCCAGAACTCAGTCCTGATGACCCTCCGACTGATTTCAGAGAATCTCATCCTTTACCTTGTCTGGCTGAGCAGCAGAGCAAGAGTGGCCTAGGCCCCACCCACAACTTTGTACCTGTCCGTCACTGACAGTCTAGACCCCAGACTCCCATGTGTGTGTGTGCACGCTCACACGGACACACATACCCATACATGTCCATGTGTAAGTTCCCACATCTAATCACTGTAAGGGTTATAAAGCTAGAACTTTATGCCATTGCTCAAGGGCCTGTTTTGGACCCTTCATTCACTCATTTATTCATTTGCTCACTTTTCCTTTTTAAAGCAATTTTTTTTTAATTGGAAGAAAACTGCTTTACAATATTGTGTAGGTTTCTCCTATACAACAATGCAAGTCAGCCATAATGACACATATATCACCTCCCCCCCACTCACATCCCACCCCTCTGCGTCGTCATGGAGCACTGGGCTGGGCTCCCTATGTTATGCAGCAGCTTCTCACCACTTGTCTGTTTTACACATGGTAGTGTGTATATGTCGATGCTACTTTCTCCATTCGTCCCACTCTCTCCTTCCCCCACTGTGTCCATAAGTTCGTTCTCTACATCTGCATCTCCATTCCTTCCCTGCAAATAGGTTCATCAATACCATCTTCCTAGATTCTGTGTATATGTGTTAATATACTATATTTATTTTCTTTTTCTTACTAACTTCACGCTGTATAACAGGCTCTAACTTCATCCATCGCAGTAGAACTGACTCAAACTCATTCCTTTTTATGCCTGATAATATTCCATTGTTTAAATGTATCACATCTTCTTTATCCACTCATCTGTTGATGGACATCTAGAATTGCTTCCATATCTTAGCTACTGTAAATAAGGTTACTGTGAACTTTGGAGTACATGTGTCTTTTTCAATTATAATTTTCTGAGTATATGCTGAATAGTGGTATTGCTGGGTCATACAGTAGTTTTTTATCCCTAGTTTTTAAAGAAATCCCCATACTGTTCTCCATAGTGGCGTATCAATTTACATTCCCACCAGCAGTGCAAGAGGGTTCCCTTTGTTCCATATCCCCTCCAGCATTTATTGCTTGCAGATTTTTTTCACTTTTCAAATTGATGCTGGAAAGATGAAGGGAAATAATGCCCCATCCCTGTCTTCAAAAGGTTCTCAGACTATCTAGCAAAACAGACACATAAACAGCACCAAATACAACTGTGTCCATCTTCTCTGAGCCTCTCACTCCAGTATCTGACCCCCTGACATCCCCATTGGGGTGCCTCCTAGTCATTGCAAACTGAGTCATCCCCAGTGGACCCTTGGGCCCCCTCCCCATGCCCCAGCAGGCCTGTTAGCTTGTCCTGCCATCTCAGTAAATGTGCCACCCAGCCCCAGTGGTGAACCCAGGATCCTGTAAGTCACCCATGGTATCTTTCTCCCTCACCTGCTCATCTAGTCCAAGCTCAGGGATATCACGCTCCCTCCAGAACCCATACTCACATCCCCCTCTTACTCCCATCACCCTCCCCAGGCCCATCACCTTCCCAGCAGCCCACAGCCTCCTACCCATGACTGTCTTCCACCCATTCTCCACCCAGAACCAGGGCCGTTATGACAGCAAAGCAGATCAGATCACGCCCCTGAGTGCTCTTGCCTTCCCGGGGCTTTCACTGCCCCAAGAGTGAAATGGAACCGACTTCTGCTGCCAAAGAGGCCACAGGCCTCCCCACTTCTCTGTCCATCTCTTTACTCAGCTTTAACTGGCTTCCTTTCACCTTTGACCAGTGTTCCTCAAACGATCTATGGTGAAGGACCAATAAATTTTTTTATTTAGTAAAATGTTTTTGAGAGTGAAAGTGTTAGTCATTCAATTGTGTCCGACTCTTTGCAACCCCATGGACTGTAACCCACCAGGCTCCTCTGTCCTTGGAATTTTCCAGGCAAGAATACTGGAGCAGGTTGCCATTTCCTACTCCAGGGGATCTTCCTGACCCAGGGATCGAATCCAAGTCTCCCGAATTGCAGGCAGTTTTTTTTCTATCTGAGCCACCAACAGAATTAGCAGAAAAACAGCATATAAATACAAAACACAAGACCCCTTGTTTCATTGTTAGATTCAGCACATATAAACGTCCTCTGTCAAGTTGTTACAGGTTTCTGAAAGCTCCCCCTGGAGTCCCACAACCACCCTGTCATCAGCTAGTCATTCCAGTTCAATCTGACACCCACACTTGGAGCAGCAGGACAGTGGGCTGCTCCACCCAGCCCACCTTGGCCTCACTCTGCCCCAGCGCACCTCGTGGCTACCTCCAAACCCCAGGGTTCAGCTCTCAAGTCTGATCCTCAGTGAGACCATCCCTGGTCACCCCTGCCCTGCCAGTCACTGACTCCTCACCCCATCTTACTGCCTGCCTATTGTCTTTGCTCCCTTACATATCCCCGACCTGTGCCCCATTAGAACAGGAAACTCGGGTCTTCTTTGCACCTACCTCCCCAGATCCTCAAATGGTGCCTGGTCCAGGAGAGTGCTCAGTCACTTTTGTTGGCTGAAAGGAAGGAAGAAGGGAAGGAGGGAGGGAGGGAAGAAGGGAGGGGAAAAGAGGCAGAAAGACAGAGAGAGAAAAAAAGAGAAAGAGGAAAGGGAGGTGGAATGTGGAGGGGAGGGTGAAACAGGAGGAGGAAAGACAGAGGGAAAGAAAGTGAGAGAGGAGGAAAAAGAGGAAGTGGGGGAGAAAGAGGAAGGAAGGAAGTACCTGAGACATGCTGATATCATAGGAAAAAGAGAGCTTTCCCCCTTGAACTCAAAGGAGGCTTCTCGAAGAGGTGATGAAGGAGTAAGCTCTCAAAAGAGTGAAGGGAGTTTTCTAAACAGATGAGTTGCGTGCGGGGCTGAGGGTGAAGGCGTGCCAAGCAGAGCAGCAGTAGCAAAGGCCCAGAGCGGCCAGATCTGTTCCTGCATGTGTCCTGCAGGAGGCTGGAGTGAGGGAGACTAATGAAGGCTAGAGAACATGAGGGTCTCCCTGCGGCGCTCCACTACTTTAGAAAACGGGAATCTAACTCTTGAATGGCCATCATCATGCAGTTCTGGCGTCAGGTTAGAGTAGAACCAATTTTGATTCCCAGCTTCTCTTCCCTCCCTCCCCTTCCAGCCACTCCATCCCCACTGACAGTGCCAAGGGCCAGCTGTCAGGGCAGCCGCTCTGTATGAAGCAATACTATGGGCTCTTCTCCTCCTATCGGCTCCCCGGCCACACCCAGGACACGCTGGTGGCCCAGAAGAGCAGTGTCATGCCCGAGCCGGAGCACGTCATTGTGGCCTGCTGCAGCCAGGTAAGTGGCCTCTTGCTACTGCAGCCTCTCGGGCTTGGGGAGGGGTGCACATGTGTTCATCCCTTCCTGCTTCTCCAGGGGTGTTCAGCCCCCTCCCAGAGTTACACGGTGAGCTGGGGCAGGGTGGCCCCGAAATGGGGTCTCTTGATTTCTGTCAGTCCCATTTCTTTCCACTGGTTGGATTTTAAGAACGAGGAGCGTCGTCAGTCGAGATGCCTTTGGTCGATTCCCATTTCAGTCCCGTCCAGCCGAGTCAGGCCCAGTGAACTGCCTGGATGGACTGAGGGTCGTTAATGAGACCCAGCATGTCTTCAGCCCTCCACATGCAGTCACCCAGGTCATGGCCTTCCTGGAGACCACACACAGATGGATAGCTTACAGACTGACTGTCTGGGCATTCATGTCCAGGTGGGCCTGGTATCTATACTCATCCCATCTGATCTTAGGATGACCTTGCAGAGGAGGCCTTGGATCTCCGTTTGACAGATGAGGAGATGAGACTTAGGTTAGGTGGCTTGTCCAGGGGTGAGAAGGACTCCTCGGTCTCAGTGTCACAAGCCCATGCTCTATCCCCTGCAGCTCAGGTCCTCAGACTGAGCTCCAGGGAACACAAAAGAGCCTGTGGGGGCCCAGGGGATGCCAGACAGTGTATTCTATATACTGAGGCTCCACATAAATATTTCATCTGATGAAACGCTGTTTGTTTTCATTAAAACCCAACTTTGACACCCACCTGGGGGCTCCCCTGGTATTTTTTCTATAGTGTTTTCTTCTTAGGCTCATTTGACATTTTCAGTCTAAATTGGGAGCCCTAAGTTTGCCATCAGAAGGTGGCTGTTCCCAAGTTGGGAGCCCACCTGACAGCTGGCTGGCCACAGGACAAGAAGCTTTCTCCACCTTCATTCAAAAGTCAAACCCAGAATATCCCAGTGCCCCGCTCCCCGCCACACACACACACACCATAGTATCCATCCCTCCCAGAAATGCTCTCAAGACTCCCGCGCTGAACTGAACCACCTGTATGCTGCTCAGGGCATAGGGCGAGGCACATGTCAATCAGCAGAGAAGGGATCTTGACCTGCGACTATGAATAGAACCTTACAATGCTGAGGCTCTACCTTCGAAGTTCCTGAGTGCCAGTTCACAGGCCTCACCTACAAAGCACAAGCAAGTACATGTGTATAGGTACACATGTATGCACAGAGCATTTTGTGTGTTGTTCTTCCATTTTAATCTTTCTCTGCATATTATTTGCTGCCATTTTTTCCTCCACTCACCAGTGTTTTAAATCTATCCCTGTAGCTGTATATAGAGCTAGTTCATTCCTTTTAACTGCTGGATACACATGCATTGGATAGGTGCTCCACGTTTTACTTAACCATTCCCTTACTGCAGAACATTTGGGCTCTCTCTACCGTTTTTCTATTGCAAACAAGGCTGATGTGCACATTCCTTTATATGTCTCCCAGGGCACAAGTATATGTTTCTCTAAGCCTTAGACTAAACTATGCATTTATAAGAGCAGTTACTGAATCATAGGGCACGCACATTTTCAGTTTTGATTGACACAGCCCTCCAACAGCAAGCAGATGTATCAATTTCCACTGTTTCCCACAAATATGGTTTTACATCAAGTAGGAACTACAGAAAAAATCTTTCTTTAGTTAAGTTCAATCTGGCCTTCTTTGATCTGGGAGAGCTTGGAGTCCAGCACGATTGACAGCGTCGGGCTGGTCCCCACACTGTGGCTCTTCTGAACCATCAAGTACCTTGGGAACCAGCGGCCCGAGTGTGCCCCCATCCTGCTCCCATGTGGAGGCTCAGGGAAGGCCTGACGTCTCGGGCGGGCTGCCCTGAGTGACGTCTTTGACCTGTTTCCCCCACAGTTCTTTGTCTTGGATGTTGTGATTAATTTCCGCCGTCTCAGTGAGGGGGATCTGTTCACTCAGTTGAGAAAGATAGTCAGAATGGCTTCCAACGAGGATGAACGCTTGCCTCCAATCGGCCTGCTGACGTCAGACGGGAGGAGCGAGTGGACTGAGGCCAGGACGGTCCTCATGAAAGGTTAGCAGCAGCACCCAGCACGTCTCCATGCTCATCTCATCCTCACGCCCATTGGCCTCCCTCCCTCCAGGGGTGTACCTCATCCACATTTGCCATTGCATGGGAAGCTCAGGCCTCCTTCCAGCCCAGGACCCAATGGCATATCCTGCAGTTGGCCTGTGGTCAGCTGAAGGCACCTTTTGTACCCTTGTAATTCATCTGAAGGCATGCTGACTTTCTGGGTGAGGCTGACTAGCCCTGGAATCTGAGGATGTCTGGGAGTATGGGGTGGGGGGGGGCAAAATTTTGAGTTGAAGGAAGGCCAGCTGCAGTGAAGCAGTGGTGTTTTATTGGTGGGCAAGGAAGGTGCTCGTTTCTGAGATGAGTTGCTGGGAGAGCTGTCAGGTGGGGGTTTGGGAAGGGCCCACCTCTGGAAGGGTAGCTGGCTGCCTCCTTCACGTGATTTCTTGGTACCAGAATTCTTCGTCTTCAAGCTGACCTTATTCTTCTGGCTGCTGCTCTTAAGAAAGTTTCTAAGCTTTCCCATAAGAAATCCAGCAACGGCCTTACATTTTTCAAATTGTCCTTCTGGAAACTACTTTTCAAACCCAAAGCGAGCCCTATTCTCAGGAACTGGGTGGAGAGTCTTGCTTTCTTGCCTACGTTCCAAGATGAAGGGTGGGACTTCTTTGAGCCTCTATCTGCCCCTTGGGCTTTTGTGCCAGCCAGGTGACCATTCAGAGTCCTTGAGTGTGTGTAAGCTGAGGACCTGGGCTAGGCCTGGGGTGTGTAAGGGACAAAGAGGATGGAGCCCTTGGCCCTGAGCAGCCCCCTTGATAGGAATCGGGGATGGATTCAAGTACATAGTAATGCAGTGTCTACCCACGTAAGTCTGTAGAGCCAGTTGGTACCAAATAAATGCTCCAGGACTTTAGAGAGGCGAGGGAGCCCTTCTAATTGGGAGGCTTTTGAAAGGCTTTGAGGGAAGAGGTGGGAATTGAACAAATCCCTGTGACATGAGTGAGAGGGACAGGAGGGAGGGACAGTGTCCAGGCAGGCAGACCAACTGCAGGCAAAGTCAACCGCCCAGCAGGGCCATACCTGACCTGCCCAGTACCGTGAGGAGAGCAGTCTGCCCGGCAGAGATGGCTGTGCTGGACATACTGGGAGAATGAGAAGGTGATGCGGCTTGACTGTCCAGCAGCAGGCACATCCTTCTCCCTAGAAAGCTCTTCTTCCAGGGCTGGCTGGCTCCTTGTACTGTTCTAAGCTCAGCTTAGGTGTTCCACCTGAGACTCTCCTGGAGTGCCCCCACCTCTCCCCAGCATTCTCTGCCTCTTGTCCTGTTATTCACCTTGGTTGCATTTCTCACTCTTTGAAGTCAATTTTTTGTCTGTTTGATTCATGCTGATTATCTGTCCCTTTCCCCTACCGCCACCCAAGTCTGTAAGACCCAGGAGGACAGGGGCCTTACCTGGCTTAACTGCTGAATCTGCTGTCCCAAACACAGTTAATCCCCAATCATGCTTGTTAAATAAAGGAATGAAGGACTACTAAGGATACTGGGCCCAGACGTATTTCCCACTTTTGAAACAATTTTCTTTCATTCAATTCTTGGGCACCTTCAAGTGCTTGGTCTTAAATTGGAGGCTCTGTGGGTCACAGGTAGGTGCCAGAGGTGATCCTGTTCTTACCAACCTAATGGCCACGTGGGAGAATTAATAACTTATAATTTGAAAGTGAGTTAATTCCCTCAGGAGACTATGGTGTAATCAAATACTACTCTTCTCCCCTCTAGGGACAGAGACAGGCATCAGAAGAATTGCCTCTGCTTCCAGTAGGCTTCCCACTTTATTAGTAGGCCAGGCCCAAGCCATCACCCTGCACGACTGACCAGGATTGCCCTGGGGTCTGAGTGCCTGGGTGCGCTAATCGGAATTAATTTGTTAATGGCACTTGATCTGGCTTTCTGAATGGAAGTGCTGTTTCTAAAGGAAGCATGACAGAAAGGAGGGAGGTGCACTCACGGCTTCGCTCTGGAAATCTAATTAATCCAGTTAGCACTGACTGTGTCATCTGCACAGCGGAATCTGATCCTTCACTGAGCTTGCCTCTCTGGAGCGCCCCTTCCCACAGAAGGAAAATGGGGAAACCACTTAGGAAATGATTTGAGTGTCAAAGTGAAAGATTAAAGCAGCTTGGGCTAGAGTTGAGAGTGAAGATGGAAAGATGGAAAGACATGGGTGGGGTCTAGAGAAGTTTCAAAGCAGAAGTAACAATAAGGAAAAGAGGAATGAGCAAGAGTCCTAGGCTTTTTTTTTTTAAATAAGTTTATTAGAAATTTACTTATTTTATTGGGGTATAGTTTACAATATTATGTTAGTTTCTGCTGTACAACAGAAGTGAGTCAGCTATATGTATGTATACATCTGCTCCCTCTTGAGCCTGCCTCCCACCCTCTCCATCCCACCCCTCTAGGTCATCACAGAGTGCCGAGCTGAGCTTCCTGTCTATACAACAGCTTCCCACTAGCTATCTATTTTACACATCTTAGTGTATATATGTCAGTGCTACTTTCTTAATTCATCCCACCCTCCCCTTAGAAAAATGGTACTGATGAACCTATTTGCAGGGCAAGAATAGAGACACAGATGTAGAGAACGGACTTGTGGACACAGGGGAGTCCTAAGTTTTTGATGTGAGCCACTGAGTAGATGGTGGTACTATTCACTGAGATGAGAACCAGGTGAGGAAAGTGATGCAGCAGGGAGAAGTCCTTTCCCAGTGTATTAGGGCTGAGACGCCTTGAGTCATCTAAGTAGAGACGTCAAGTTAGATCTATGTGTCTGGAGCTCAAGGGAGAGGTCGGTACAGAGATATAAATTTGAGAGCCACCAGCACAGAAGTGATATTTAAAGTCATGGACCTTGATGAGATCATCTAGAAACGGAAGATGGGGCCTTGGAGGTCAGGTAGAAAAAGATGCAAAGGGGATAGAGAAAGAGCAGCCTGTGAAGTCAAGACGAAACCAGGAGATGAGTCACAAAGATCCAAGAGGGAAGGAGAGAGCCGCCAACTACGCTGGATGCTTCTGAGAACTGTCGGGAAAATGGGACAGAGAGGAGACTCTGGGCTTGGCAGCCCTAAGTCAGCCATGACCTTCACCAAAGTCAGGCCAGAGTACTAGACAGGGGGAAGGTGTATGGTGATAGAGGCCATCCAACAGTAGGAAGAAACTGTTAATGAGACAGTCACTGAGTAGAATCAGTTAAGGGTGGATGGTTCTTTTCAGACCTTTTGGTACTAGAAGGAGCAGAAAAATGGGAGTAGTTGGAAGAGGATGGGGGTCAAGGGAAGTGTTTTTAGTAGAAGAGGCAAGTGCATGGAAGTAATCCAGTAAGTGAAATTGTTAGTGAGGAGAGAGGAGACAAATGGAGAGGTGGAATTCTTGCAAAGGCAAAAGGAGATGGAGCACAGAGAATCAGAGACCTTTGACTGATACAAGGAAACCTGGCCTCAGGTCAGCAGAGCCATGGTGAGGGTGGGATTCTGGAGGCAGAAGAGGATGTATGATAGAGCCTCATGGGAAGTGAGAAAGACAGCCTACTCAGGAAACTTACTAAGATTCATGGACTGTATTGAGCTCATATTTGAGGGCTATTCACTTTAGAAGAAACAATACACTTTAGCATTGTTTTGCAACCCCCCTCTCCCTCACACACAATGTTGAGGTGCTGAGGTTCAGGTAAGGAGAAAGTGGGTTGCTGAGTTCAGCCAAGGTCAGTGAGCATAACTCAGGGAGAGAAGGTGGGTGTGGAGGGGAATGGTTAGAATGCTGGAATCTGAACTAAGCAGGTGTGTTAGTCTGCTTAGGCTGCCACAACAACCTACTACACCCTTGTGGGGCTTAGACAATAGCCATTTATCTTCTCCCACTTCCAGAACCTAGAAGTCCAAGGTCAAGGTGTCAACAGAGGGGTTTCTTCTGAGGCCTTTCTCCTTGACCAGGATAGCTGTCTCCTCCCTGTATCTTTACATTGTCTTCCCTCTATGTGCAAGGATGTCTGTGTCCTCGTCTCTTTTTCTTACAAGGACACCAGGCATGTTGGATTAGGGTCCCACCCCAGTGACCTCATTTTAATTACCTCTATAAAGACCCCCATCTCCAAATACAGTCCCTGGAATAGGGGTTAGACTTCAATTTAGGGACTTTGGGGGGGATACAGTTTAGCCCATCGCAGGAGGGAAGTGAAAGACGGGGGTGGGTGGTGGAGAGTGGAAATAGGCAATGGGGCTGAAGGGTCCTGGAGATGTCAGTGAGACGTGCTGCAGTGGGAGGTAACAGAGTGTGTGAAGCAGGAATCAGAGTGTGGTCAAGGTGTGGGAAGCTTGAGCTGATGCTCCAGAGGGGGTTGGGTCCTGGTCGTGATATGTCTCCAGAAAGGTGAGAGGTCAAGGGGCTGAGAGAGGAGGGTGCCAGCCGGGTCACACACAGGGATGTTCAAGTTACCGAAAGGATGACCGGAGTGGTGATGGGGAAGAAGAGTGTGAGCCAGGTCCTGGTGGTTGGGCATTGTGAGGAGGTCAGTGGATAAGCAATGAGGATAACGCGTGGGGGGAGGATGAAAGCCTAACCAGATGGGTCGGGGGCATCCCCTCCCAGCTCCAAAAAGAAAGCCGGAGGGGAGGGGGAGTCATTTAGGAGCTGGGAGGGGATGCCCCCGACCCATCTGGTGCTGGGCTGAGTGTGAGGGAAGATGACAGTCCCCTAGGAGGGGGTGCAAGGAAGTGGGCCCTCAGAGGGGGCACCCTTCAGTTGAGGCAAAAGGTGAACAGAACACTTTCAGAGAAGGTTAACAGGGCAAGGGGAGAGCCAGTCAAGCACTGTGAAGAGTCCAGTAAGGAGGAGAGGAGAGCAGGGGAGGACCAGGTCTGCCCAGGGGACCCTGGAGCAGCAGGGGGTGGGAGTGCTGGGGAGGGCGGCTGTCACTGCAAATGATGCTCCCAGAGCACTAACCTCT